GAACTTTGAAGAATATAACTTAGAAGTTGTTTATCGAAACTTAAATGTAAAGGTCAACTCATCAATCTGTAGCAAGTATAAAGCTCAAGACAATTTTTATACATCTCATCACTTGCATAAAAATATTCACGAAATGAAATTTGGTTTTTGGAAAATGACATTTGTGATTTAAATCTTTTAAAACCAAAAATCTATTCATTTCGATCGACTAAAACCTTTCGGTTGACCGAAAGAAATTCGACCGAAAGTTTTAAATTGATCTGCCGAAACTCCAACGGTCTGAATATTTTTAACGGCTATTGTAACACCCCGAAAAACTCTACAAAAATAAAATTATTTATTCCATCTACTACACTTTACATTTTGAAAGTTGGTGGACTAAAGTGACATATATTAAATTCATTTGGGCCAAATATTTAAATATTGGCACATTAATGATAAGTATACCAATATTGAAGTCGTTAGATAGCTCATAATTAGTTATTATATTGTGCTCGAGAAAAAGTTAATTCGGATAAATGATGATCAAGTTATTGAGGTTGAAATATATCGTCTTAAATTACATTTAATTAAATTGTTAATTTAAGTAGAACAAGATATGACACGGTTATTGGTAAATTATTAATGATTTTCTTTAGAATTTTGTATAGAATAATAAAAGAAAATTTTGAAAGGCATCACGTGCCCTTTTAGATGGAAAAGGAAAATAGTTTTTATTTATTTGTCTATGATTGGTTGTTGATGTGATTGCTTTGGAAATGAAACAGATTGAACAGTAATGACTTTATAAATTGGGAATACACGCAAATGATATAGTGCCTTGTCAGTCATTGCCTTGAAACGAGTAGATTGCCATGTTTGTATGGAAGTAATGCATAGAAAACCAACGGATTGAGCAAATTACAAGGAATTGAACGCATAGATTTATGGACCATGCTAGTGGTACATTAAGGATTACATCGGGCTGTACACCCCTCTCACATGGGGGTGAGGTCCGCTCGAATAAAAAATTATTATTCGAGT